TAATATATATATATATATAATATATATATAATATATATATATATATATATATATATATATATATATATATATATATATATATATATATATATATATATATATATATATATATATATATATATATATATATATATCATTCCGGCATAGCAATTTATTATGATTTTTTTTTAAACTTCGCAATCTCAATTTTACGTGCAGTGATTCCTGGCGGTATCGACACGCATACGCACATGCAAATGCCCTTCATGGGCACACATGCGGTAGATGATTTTCTCGTTGGAACGCAGGCGGCGGTGGCTGGTGGTACCACGATGATCATTGATTTTGTGATGCCGACCAAGGGTGAATCTCTCACGGCAGCGTACAAGAAATGGCGGGGCTGGGCTGATGAAAAGGTGGGCTTGTTTCAAAAGTTACGTTGAACAGCCATCGTTCTTCATCGTCGCAGACTCGCTTTCTAAAATCATATTTTTATTTGTTTTACGAATCCTGAATTTGGCAGGTTGTGTGTGATTATGCATTCCACGTGGCTGTCACATGGTGGAGCGAACAGGTCGCCAATGAGATGGTGGAGCTCACCAAAGTAGGGATCAATTCGTTCAAGACATTCATGGCATACAAAGATGTCTTCATGCTGCGCGATGACGACATGCTCAACTGCTACGAGCACATTGGCAAAATTGGCGCTCTAGCTCAGGTGTGCATCGTGTTGTTGTTCATAACGAACGTCCTCTTCGTGCCGTTATGACTGTATTGATTGGGTCCGTGTGCTGCTCTTAGAATCCATTCATGTTTACCAGCAGAATACAAATGTCTGAGATGATAAGTTCATACTATCTTATCCCCATGTAAATGTATGCGTATAATTACCACCGTGTGCGTGCATATACGTGCTCAGTTTCGGAACTGGAACCGGAAAGCTATAATTCTTCCACTGACGAATTAATGCGATTCGCTTGTGAAGTATTCATTCGAGTTTTGATGAACTCAATTATAAGGTACACGCTGAAAACGGTGATGTGATTGCAAAGAAGAGCGCGGAAATGGTTGCAAAGGGTATCACGGGTCCTGAAGGCCACCTGCTGTGTCGTACTGAAGAGGTAGAAGCGGAGGCAACCCAGCGCGCCATCATGATTGCCAACCAGGTTTGTAGCGATTGTGTACTGTTCCGCCGGTTACTACGGTTGACATAGGTTTTGGATTTGCCCTTGCAGAATGATTTGTACATGAAAATGAGTGCCAACACACCACATAAATTACCGGACTTCAAATAATCCGTTATCTTGACCTGACTGTCCCCACAAACAACATCACAACTGCAGGTGAATTGCCCGCTGTATGTTGTCCATGTCATGAGCAAGACGTCCGCAGACGTGATATCTGCTGCCAGACGAAGAGGGTGTGTTGTTTTTGGTGAACCTATCGCCGCAGGATTGGGTGCAGATGGAAACTGCCACTTCAACAAGTGTTGGCGACATGCCGCACATCACGTTATGGGACCACCCATCCGACCAGACCCATCCACCCCAGGCTATCTCATGGATCTTCTGGCTAGTGGAGATCTGCAGGTAAGTATATCAGAGGTGCAGAAGTTTTAAATTCTGTCGTTGACTGTAAAACTTTAATTGCTAACTCAATGATCAGCATTTGAAACTACGTGTGTGACGTAGTAGACGCCCTTATGAAATACTGACAATGCACATTTATTCCTTGCGTCTACAGACCACCGGTACGGACAACTGTACCTTCAATACAGACCAAAAGGCTCTTGGCAAGGTAGGTCTCGCGGTGAATTTCTTGTCCAAGTATTTCCTTTTTTTCTTCACTTTCAGATGATGTTAGGAGGAGAAATCCCACATTGCAAGATTGGCGTTAGTTTTGCGTTGCCTTGTAATGCCTTCATTGGTGGTCTGATCTGTCTTCCTCTGTCTTCCTTTGACTCGCACGTGCCCATGTTAGGACGACTTCCGCGCCATCCCTAACGGAATCAATGGTGTGGAAGACAGAATGTCTATCGTATGGGACAGAGGTGTTGCTACCGGGAAACTCAGCCCGTCGCAATTTGTTGCAGTCACCAGCACAAACGCGGCAAAGATTTTCAATATATATCCGCGCAAGGGGCGCATTGCAGTTGGTTGTGACGCGGATATAGTGGTCTGGGATGCGAATGCTCAGCGCACAATCAGTGCAAAAACCCATCACCAAGCTGTCAACTTCAATATCTTTGAGGGACAGGTAAGGTTGCTGTTTCACGCTGCCTTGACAATTGTGCAGGATTGTATGGTACAAGCTTATGTGCCGTGGATGTTCTATTTGACAAGTTCGAAGACGTTATGTGTTGCGTTTTATTCGAGTTGTGATCAATATCTTTGGTGTATTGAATTCAAGCAAAACATTGAAATATACCTTCTTGTTCCATTAAAGACTGTTACAGGGCTCGCCAAGGTGACTATTAGCAGAGGAACGGTGGTCTGGAAAGATAACAAGGTATACGCTATATGCATGAACCCATCATACACTGGTTCGTGCGATGTCTGTATAGGAAATGCAGCATGTGCCATCATAAAGAGTCAATTTAGACAACGCACGAATTCGCAACTTAGCTTTAGTTTCGTATAGTATACGACCATTCGACGTTCTTAATCTACAACCCTATGTTTTATACCAACACATGTGGTCAAGCGTACTCGCATTTCGAATGTTTTCTTTCAGCTCTCAACTACTAGAGGATCCGGCCGCTTTGTAGAGACTCCGCCCAATTGCGAGCATGTCTACAACCGGATCAGGACTCGGGATGTTGTAAGTATCGCTGGCTTTATTTATAGTTTTGCCTTCGTCGCATGCCGTTATGAAGTATGAGTCGTGCTGGTGCAACGGATGTTATAGCCACGTCAAGGTCACATACGCAGTGTCTGAGACGAGCATTATTTTTTTTATGTAGCAACTTGCCTTGCATGGTAGTATCCAGTTACTAGGTATTTGATCTAGTTTTTTTCCCTTGTATATTGCCTGCCTTATTGATGTACACCGGGGTGTATTCTACCTCTCGATCCTGATATCCGACTTCTCGGTGAACACGAGTTATGTCCACGTTTCTTTTGAAGACGTGACTATATCTCTGAATCTTTGCACCACGTGGACGGCTATCATGCAGGCACTGCTTGCCAGTTCCCTTGCATTGCCCTCATACACAATCGGACCAACATGGCTTCCTTGATACTCGCACCATTCTTGCACAGGTGCGCCAACCGAAGAAGGTTGAACGAGAGCCATACACCGGTCCCGTTGCAGTTCTCGAAAAGTGAAATTTTCAGCCGGTAGTCCGAAGATCCCGAAACAACGTGCCAATTGAATAAAGTCAATCGTATCTGTTTCTTGTCATCTTACTAGCAATACATCAACTACTTGGTAACCATGTCCGCTCTTTCTTGAGCAAGCAAGAGCACCTCCTTGGCCGTCTTGACTTGCTCTGTGTCTTCGTAGCCTGGGACGAGCAATAGCGCAGCAAGTGACTCGATTTGATCGTCCAGTCGATTCTTCGTGTGTGGGATCATCGCACGCGTTTCTTCGACCACATTGGCCTAAGTGGATGAAGTTGAAGTTTGTGTATGGTATAAATGTATTGTGTGCAGTCGCACCTAAAAACCCAAGCACCTTTCTTGTGAAGTGTTAGGTATAATGTAGTAGCATTGCTTGGAGCGTGCAGTAGCTCAGATTCGGAGGATTGAACGACCGTAAGCAACAGAACAAAAGGCGAAACAGCGACCGCAGTTGAGCCCAGATTCTGTAAACTTTGCTACAATCTCACACATGCTTCGAATAGGTGATGTAACATAATAACTAGTGGTAGAAGCATGAGGTACAAAAATAGTCCGTACTTCGTCGCGACGGGTGAAATAGAAAGCAGAAACACAGTGGATATTCCCAAGAGCACAAGCAGAACAATGTTAGGCGAGTACTAATTCGTATAATAGACTACACTATTCAGTGATATAAATATTCCGTCCGGTCGACACCTGCTGGAACGCCTCTCAACACCTGACGCTAAGCAATTACATCTTTAACAGCAAAATATCTAAGCTTTTATTTCAAAACAACCCACCTGCTGTCGCAGTTTGTACTCATCGACGCCATCCGCTTTCCACTGATCGTAAATTTTGACCTCCGCTACCTCTTCTTCTGTATACATTCGCATATCTCGAGTCAACCTGCGCAATGTGAGAAACTACGAATGTGAACAATGGTGACTTCTACCCGGGTCAACCTGCGCAATAAGGATACTACCAATGTGAACAACGATACTTAACCAGTAGCGAGGTTCAGGGTGAGATGTTTATCATAGTGTGCAGTGGTGTGAATGGTACCTTCTCACCTTATATGACGTACTGTGTGCGTTATGTGCGGTCTATCTTGTCTAGAATAAAAAGAACAGGGGTTACAAACAACCATAAAAGATTACAATAAGTGCGTTGAAAAACAAAACATTTACGAACGCAACAAGTCTTATGACTGATGATGAAAAGAGATTGCAAGCTTTATTTCTGGTGAACGTCACTCTTTGTTTGTAGATTGAATTCGTATGATCAGTATTCTTCGCGATCATATCAGGTTCATTTGAAAAAAGAAAAGGAAGCGCAACACACTATATTCAACATTCGTTAACAAAGTCACATGATTTCGTGTGGATCAGTTGAGTGCGCAAGTAGGTGCTTGTGATCCGAACGAGACGTTTATGAAATCATTGCTACATAAGCCTATTTGTATCAATATGTGCAATATGTGACTGTGCCCGAAACGATCGCACAATACATATATACATATATACATATATACATATATACATATATACATATATACATATATACATATATACATATATACATATATATATATATATATATATATATATATATATAGTTGTGTGTGTGTGTGTGTGTGTGTGTGTGTGTGTG